GAGGAGGGAGGCAGACAGATAGGCAAACAGTCCACGCCCCTTCGAGGGGTTGAAAACAAACAACCTTCGAAGGGGCGTGGACTGTTTGCCTTACACTGTCTGCCTCCCTCCTCCCCGTTAGCACTGCCTCCGCCGGCACGCTCGCCGGCACGCCGGCACGCCGGCGGACTACGAAAGCAGCCCTTGGAATCCATTTTGCAGGTCGCGAGAGCTCCAGCCCGACATCTTTGGCACTCTACATGACACTTCTTCTCCAAAATTGCTACGACTAGAGTTGATCGGCTCTTTGCGTAAGTCATGCCGCCGGTAGTAGCTGTAAGCATCGGGGCCTTCCCAACTTACTTTTTCTTCATCGAAAAATATGACCTGAACGAGAATATTGGACTGTATGGCTAATCGGTAATACAGGCTGACTTGCGTATAATCTCGTCCCAAATTCAACTTCGCGGATTCAAGCCGTCCCTTTCTGTGTTGGTCGATAAGCCTCGAAGCCTTCGTTGCTGCCCTGACAATGCAGCTGCTCTTATCCACCGCTCTCTACTGAGCAGTTTTGGACGCCGAGAGACCCAACTCCGATCGAACTTGGTTCAACGACAAAGTCTTGTCCGAAATAGCTCTCAGCATTCTCCTCTCGATGTTTGCGCTTAGCTTTGCGTGGGTGTCCTGTCAACGGAGTGGGATCTGTATTCTTCAAATATCTTCGAACGAAGCTGAGGGATCTCACGATTGTCCTCCTAATAGTCCTCGTACTGACCCCTTTATGCATCCTGTATCCCGAATCATTCGATTTTGTGCCTTTTCTTTTAAAGAAAGATGAGCTCTCTAGGCAAAGAGCATATTGCTTTTAGAAGTACTTGCAACATATTCTCAACCATACAGATCCCTCCGGTTGCACATTCTGCTGCACGGGATCGAAACTTTTGTGCCATCGGGGAAGATCCTATACTTATGAAACTACAAAGAAATCGAAAATAATCTATTTAAACGTTAGTAAGTTGAAGTTGAGCAAACCAAAGCACGTATATGGGGATTATTGAAGGTGTTGAATCTAATGGTGGTGTCAGAAAAATGTGCTTGGCTGCTTATCCTGCAAAAACCAAATTCTTATTCTTATGAAACGCACTGTGGTCTAGACGGCACGCTTCGAAACAATATCAGCACCTTCTCATATAAAAACTAGTTTCTTGGAAATATTTCAATTAAGTTACGGTTTGTTGAAATAAGGTTATCAAATCTTAGCGCTCAACTAGTATACATCATAAAGTTAGTGACTGACTCATACAACTTGACAGCGAACTGTCATCATGGTTACCTTTCAGATCGCACCGCAAAGTTGTGGGATCTACAGACTGGAAGTGAAGTGAGGACATTGGGTGTGCATCCGAACAATGTTCATGCTGTACGATTCATACCAGATTCACAGCTGGCCATCTCAGTGTCAATGTATCAGGTTCGTTATAGCCACCAGTATTCGAGGCAATCCTCAAGTTATCCGTTTGAGTACTAGTAAGCGAGTTGTCATAGTTTCTATGAAGCAAGGACGGTAGTAATAACCAACAACGAGACCGTTCGTCATGAAGATCAAGATGGAACTTGAACCCAACGGATAGGACCTCTTCTTTGGGACGTACCGTAAACTGATGTTGGCCATGGGTGAAGTTTACTAAAATCTCGGTTTTCATTTCAAAAAGGATACTGTCAGACAGAAAATAATTTTACAAACACAAACAGGAAGTCACCGAATATATAACGAACAGGCCCCTCGAACATGAACATGAGGTATCGTGTTGCATGTGGAACTGAAAAGAATCGTGAAATTTGATTAAACCAGATTCAAGTTCCACCTCTATTGTTTGAAACATTGGACCCTTTCAGATTCGCGTTTGGGATTTACGAACGCAAGAATGTGTACGGATGCTTCAGTCGAGTGGCCAAGTAAATGACGGTAAGTATCGCAAGTTTCATCTACATCGAAGTAGCTTCGAAATAACCTCACTAAACAAGCGGATCTGTTCAGATTCATTGAAAATTGAAGCTATGGAAAGAGGTGATGAAATGTCGCTTATGTGTCATATTGCAGTTATTGTACTTATGTGTGTCTACACTATCGATAGCTTTTTGTCATACAAATGTATCAGGTGATGGAGGTCCGGCTGGATCACGACAAAATACGGTACCATTCCTCGAAACCGTAGTAAATGCTGCTGAAGTTGACCCGAAAGGTAAACTTCTGTTCACTTCATTCGGTGGTGACGTACGAATTTGGAATCTCGACAAATGGGCATCATTTGGACGTCTTGTGGGAGCTGTAAATAGCCCAAGGTATCACTTTGACTTATGGCAAGAGATTTCATGCATAGGGAATTTGATTTAGATCGGAAGTGTCATGTATGGCTGTTTCTGAGGGACCTGATGGACTGCCACAAATCTTCACCGGTTCTAGGGATCATTATGTGAAAATGTTTCAGTGCAGCCTTGGAGGTGAGCTTGTGTTTTTTGGCCTTCTAGGTGGCTTAAATCGATCTCTCCTTCTTCCCCTTCTTCCTCTTCTCCCTAGCGTTAATCTTCGACGTCGCAAGGTTCACTATTTTTATTAACCGTGTCCATTTCATCCTATACGTGGGGTCTTGTGTCGCCATCATAACTTCGACGAGGTCCATCTTGATCACTTCCCACCTCCTCTTCTTTGGAGCTCCTCGTGGTTGTTCTCCTTTAGCTTCGGACACCATAGCTTGGCTCATGGGTTCATCTGAGGCCTTCGCAGTAGATGCCTGACCATCGCAAAAGCTGCTCCTCCATCTTGAGCTGTTTGAAAGACTGTTCTGACATCTTCGGGTCTGATTCGGTCCTGTTTGATCCTTTACCCCTTCACCTGATCACTTTCATTCCGTTCTGTGTTTTTCAGTAAGGGTAACAGATTCGTCCGGGGAAAATCATTCTTGCCCCTACCACCTACCCATGCTTTTAAGCATAAAAAAACGTTTTTTTTTTTGAGATTTCCTATTCTTCTGGAATTTTCCCAGTAATAGAAAGAAATCACGGGAGAGGGTTCATGAATGTGCTTTCAGGAGAAGGCGTGTACGAATCAACTGTAGACTTTAATCCACCACATTACGATAATGTCACTTGTGTTGTGCCTTTCGGCGGGTTCCTTCTGACAGCTGGAAAAGACAAGGTCTGCTCGATAAATCTGTTTTATTTGATGCTATTTACTCATTGACTGTTTGTTTACAGAATATTATGAAGTTTTCGTTGCTTGATCAGAAACGAGATCATCTGGAATTGAATGCTCATAATAGTTTCATTCAAGG